ATATACATACATATATACATACATACAAACACAATACAGAAGCCTGATGATGGCAGATGAGATTCTGCCGAAACGTTGCTACAACTTTAAAAGCACAACTATAATGATGTGAGAAAATACCCGAACAAAGCTGAATATGATACATATATCTATATCTGTATCTGTATCTATATCTATATCTGTCTGTCTGTCTGTCTGTCTGTCCGTCCGTCTGTCTATGAGAAATATCATTCACGCATCATCACAAAATCTCCAGAACGGAAAAGCCTGCATGCATGCATGTTCCTCTTGGCTTCTAGATGCTCACTAAGAAAGGATTTTTCAAAAAAAACCATTAGTATTTTCTATATTATTATTAACACGGTCTGATGCTAAGGAGTTCTATTCCCCTTCCGCACCTGAAAAGAAATCTGTTCCAAATGAAAAACACAGAGATGTTATAGACATGTATTCGTCATCTTGAAATAATTAAAATAAATACAGGCTAAGGTATCTCCACCTTGCTATTCTAGTCCCAGTCTACCTCATGCAGATGAGATCATGTAGCTCCCATAAGTCCAACCAAAACGTCAGTGGTCAAGGATGCTGATGTCCAATTACATCAAGAGGGCTCACTCTTAGTAATAGAACGCAATTCTGATTTTGGGGTTCACAGACTAATTTCCTTATTTATCTCTTTTATTCTAGAATTTTAAAAAATGTACCTGCATTGTTATTATGGTCAATATTAGATTAATAAGAGTGGTTATCATGTAATTAATTGACAATTGTAGTGATAGAAATGAAGCATTTCACAATATAAAATTTCTGCAAATTTTTTCACAGCCTTCCAAATGCTTTACTGCAATGCCCCAAACTCTCAGACAACGAACCAACATATTGGCAATGAAAACTCCAAGGGTTCCATCTTTTATGACTCTAAAACCAGGTGTAAGGATACATTATGTTCGAGCTGCAGCACATTCTTTTCTGAAGATCCCCTCTCCTCGTTATTGTCCCAGACTCAGCACTACTTCTACTACATTCAGAAATGGCAAGGACTTAGGATCAGTTTCTCACAAGTTTCCTGCAGTCACCCAAGGATTTTCTGTTGATTCAACAAGGCATGCCACTTTTTATACCACTAAAATGCCCAGAGGCGATGCTTAATATCTCTTAAGTTCTAAGTATTAAACTTCAGGCCTTTTCTTTAACTCATTTGGTCTTTAATGAAATGATATCTAGGCACAGCACTTCCAAACTGATTTGTTGAATCCAATTAAATGTGAAAGGAAAAATTGTGGACAATATATTTAAATTTGGGGAATTATGTCAATACTTCTTATGATTGTTTCTCTTAGAATATGAAATATTTCTGTGATTTCCTATAAAACAATGTATCATTGATGAATCACTAATGATGCAATTGAGTGAAGGAATGTAATTCTCACTTCAGGAATGGGGAAGGGAGGGATGAGTGAAATCATACAAGAGAATATATGTAGCTTAGGACTGAACTGTGGATTCCAAGCAAAATCCAAAAACAGGTATTCCAGGAGGCTTGGCACTCAGACAATCCAGCCATCAATAGACACATTGAGATAATCACATTTATACACCATTTAAGAGACAATAACAATAAGAAGATCAGAAGATATCTCTCATAGCGCGCACACAGATAAGGAAGGATTAATACTAAACATACAATCAAGTAGAAGACAAAATTCTAATCAAGAAACTGCAAAGGAGAAAAAATATATACCCCAGCAACACTGGCAGAACAAACCATTGAATATAAATAGGGTACAAATCCTATGCTCACTGGCACTGAAGTAGTTACCTCGTTGGGTAATGAAAGGTTTGAAAGCAATCAAGCTCAGAAAACACCAAGGACTCCTTAATAAATGGTTAAAGAGTTTCAGAAATGATTATTCAGTCCTGAGAAAGAAGAAAGCCTGAGAAATTCAAAACCATCTGTCTTGATTTTTGTTTGGTGTAAGATGAGGCAGAGAGGCTTTCAATATTGTTATTCTACCCTATAGCAATAAAGAGCATTGCTGGAAACTTGCTATGTCTGTTTCTTGACCACATTTTCCTTTAAGTGCTATCAACTTGCCATTTTGTTCTGTATTGAACCCCATCTTAAGTTTCATTAATAGAAGAAATTATATTTTAATAAATAAATATAATAGTGATAGAGGATTCAAGTATATTGTGTACGTCAGAGTGAAAAACATCAAAACCCTAGCGGTCTACTATCTCTTTTGAAGGCTTCCCTCCTGTTATCTTCATTTATATCACTTCTCAGTCCACTTGACTTAAATTCAAATTCAAATGTAGACAACTAAGTGGAAGTTAATACATGATCATTCTGATTTACCTCCCACAAAAATTATGTCCTAGAAAAATATGTATGAACTAGATGCCTTGAAACATATTTAGAAAAGCTAACACCAAATATCCAATGTCCATGGTTAATTAATATTTTTAGCAATACATTTTATAAAAAAGAGTGCATAAATGAAGAAAATGTTGATGAAGCAAACTAAAATCTCAGTCAACGATAATTTACATACAGCATGGACAAATTATATGCATACTTGATTGCAGGACAATATGAATAACTATTAGCCAGAAAAGAATTACAAATCTGTTTAGCCTTTGAGATTTTCTGTTGAATTACAGAAAACAAGATTGGGTATTTTGCTTGCTCAAGATTCTGGAGCATTGCTATCAACTAAACAATGAGATAAGGAATTTTCTAGGGCCAATCTCTATCATCTCCAGTTAAGGAAGATTGCAGAGAAATTAAAAAGGGAAATTCATCTTCTGCTTTAGAAAATCCAGAGTTTTTGTGAGTCAATTAAATTAGATGGATTTGATTTTATATAAATCAGCTTGATAAATGTCAAAAGCATTCAATAGAAAACCAGTGTTTTCACTCTACAAAGTCAGTATGGTACTGTGGACAAGATTTAATACTCAGAGCGCTTTTTTTTTTTTCGCCACCTGGGATTTAGTTACATTTGGCGACAAATTAAAATTAATCTCAGATTAGATTAAGAAAGCATAGGGAACACTTTTGTTTCCAAACAGAAATACTACAAAACTTAGGTAGCATTGCAATTTATTTTTCAGCAGGTCAGCATATATTACTTGTATTTTAATAAATTAAGTACAAAAAGGGAGAACCTTAACTACCTATTTATGTAGTACCAACTTAAATCCTACTTATTTTCTAAATATACTGTAGCTTGACCTCCCTTACTACCTTATTCAACAACTATTAAAAGATTACCTACCAGTGCTGAAAAAAAGTTATGGCCAATGCCTACATTTACAAGCTTTGCCGTGTCCCTGTCATGTGATTGCCACTACAGGTAGCCTTCAATTTACAACGTCAATTGATCCCAAAATTTCGGTTACTAAGCAAGACATATGTTAAGTGAATTTTGCCCCATTTTATGGCCTTCCTTGCCATAGTTGTTAAGTGAATCACTGCAGTTGTTAATAACACAGTTAAGTGAATCTGGCTTCCACACTGACATTGCTTGTCAGAAGGTCGCAAAAGGTAATCACATGACCCCAGGACAGTACAACTGTCATAAATATGAACTAGTTACCAAGCAGCTGAATTTTGATCACATGGTCAGGGGATGCCGCCATTCTTAAATGTGAAAACAGTAATAAGTCACTTTTTTCAGTGCCATTGTAACTTCAAATGGTCACTAAACAAACTGTTGAAAGGTGAGGACTACCTGAATAGTCAATACCAGGGGTGGGTTTCCATCAGTTCCGTCCACCTCTGTAGAACCGGTAGCTAGGAAGAGCAGCAAACATAGAACCGGTTCTATGTCTGCTGATGTTTTTGTCCACTCGCCCACCCGGGCTCTTACCTGACCTTTATTTCCTGATTTTTCAACTTCAGCTGCCGAACCAGGCACAGCTGCAGTTAAAAAAACAAGAAAAGAGGGCTGTTTTAAAGGCTGATTCTCGGCATGCAGCGTGCTAATGAACAGGCATGCGGCTCCGATAGTTAACCCTGTCGTATCCCATCCCTGGTCAATACACATTGTCCTATGCCTCAACTGTTGTTTTTTCTTTATTTGTACCTTTACAGAGTAGATATATTGGAAAGATTGTTTAAAGAGATTGCTTGGGTTTTTTTTCTTCTCCCTTCCTTTCTCCCTTTCTACTGTGTGTGATCTATCACCCCATATGCCTGTGAAAAGCAAAAAGACTGGGTAGGGTTGTGACCGGCTGTTTGTGAAGTGAGCTTGTGCTTGGCAGCGCCAAAATATTCCCTGCAATATGTATTCATTATTATGTGCCTGTCTACTTTCTTGCAGTCCTCTCCTCTCCAGGGAATGTAAACAGACTTTTTTTTTTGCTTCTTGCTAATAATCTTGGCACCAGAATGATCAATCAAAAGGCAGAAGAGTTATTAGGAGGCAAATAAAAGCTCAAGGTGTGAAACTTATTTTGTCAGTTATAAGAAGCAGGCCATACAAGTTGATCAAAGTTACTTTTTTACTGTTACAATGCCTATTTACAGAAACCTCATTAGATTGACTGCATTCTCTTGGGAACAATAAAAAGCTTTGGGGATTCTGGAAAAGTAAGATTTTTGCCATTTTCTGCTGAGCAAGCACTCTTAAGATCAGCCTCTTCACACTCCCCCCTCCCCCCCAGCTAGATATTTTTACCAAATCATTCCAGGGTCCGAATAAGCATATTTTTCTGATGAAACATGGCCACCCCAATATTTTTTCAGTAATACTTTTAAAAATTGAATCTGAACTTATTAGGCCTATATAAAAATAAACAGCAAACATTATAAAAAGCAATCACAACTCAGTCAAATAAATGATACTAAATAGGTATATATTTATTTTCATTATTGAAAAAGTAAGTAGATATAGCAACTGTATTTATTTCTTTCCTTTTTAAAATCTACTGGGCAAAAAAAAAAACCTCAATAAATTATCATCAATCACAAGGTCATTTTTTTTAATAACACAAATATGTTTTCAAAATAATAAACTGATAGCCTTTGAAGTTTTATATGGGAATTTTGCTAAAAATGTTTCTTTAATATACTCTTAAATAGTGCTCTTTATCTTTAGAAAATCCCTCTGTACTGTTGCAGCTACTTTTACTTCCAAGGTACAGAATGGGAGTCATTTCAGATGCAAGGCACTCATTTCAAGCCAAAATCTACTTAGAAGAAAGTAAGGAAACTATGACCCACTTAACTTGACCAAACCAAACCACATCATCACTTTCAATCTTTTGTAAAAGGTATTAAAGAAAAAAAATCTGTAAGATCTCTCCAAACTGAATAGACGAAACAATTTCATCCAAGGGATTTTAGCCATATGCATACCATTATTTAATCACAATAAAATCCAAAATAAGAAAATTAAGTAATGACAAACACTCTGAAAATAGGCAAAAGGCAACATATTTTAATCCAACATTGTTACCTTCTTACAGCTTTTAAAATGGTTTCTAATTTGTTAATTATTCAGTTTGATCTGAATGTGAAATTTAACACACTAGGTTTCTGTTTAGCTACAATATATTGCCGATATTTAAGAAACTGAGGATAATTTTTAATGATCTTTTCTTTTTATCAAGGTGCTTTGTATCACAAAGCCATCCAGATTGGTTCATACATTCCTAAATTTCAAAGCATTCCTAAATTCCATGTTTAACCCAATAAAGTACTATTAATTTTCTTCTTCTCCTTCTGCATCCTCCTCCTCCTCCTCCTCTTCATCCTCACCATGATCACCTAAATCCACATCATCTTCATCTTCAATCTTTAGGAGGAAAACAGAAATAAAACTGCTATTTAGTGTATTATGTTAAATGGACAGCTTATTTTTAAACTTGCTAATTATTTTAATATGCTGAAGCAAATAATTAAAATTTAAATCTATCTTCTTAAGTTAAAGAGAGCATTTCTCCATCATCTGAGGCCATAATCCTTTTGTTTTATTATATAACCTATAATATAGAAATGTATTTATTTAATTATAACAAGAGAACACTACATTCATCAGGCCAAGGTCCACATTTGCCTTTGGATAGCATATTAAGATTAGACTCCATCAAAAAAAAAAAGTTGATCAAGATGCAACTAAATGAATGGCTAAATTGACTTGTTTGATCAGGGAGGAAAAGACAACTATTTTTTATAAAAGATTGGAAACACTTTACAAACTTTTTGTTTAAAACAGATAAAAAGGATCTGATTTTTGGGTTTATCATTTTAAAAAAAAGCCTATATGAGGAGAACGAAGCTTATGCCATAATTTTGAAGGGGAAAATGTATTGTCTATAACTGCTGGGAAAAAGATCATTCGCTTCTTTTAAGTATTTTTTTTCTTCTATTATTTTCAACACTTCCTTTTTTATCTTTTTTTCTTTTCTTTTCTACTGATTTAATTTTGTAAATAAATTATTAATATAATATAAATAAAACTGCATAGTAAATTTTAAGATATGATTATACAGTTATGCAGAGGTATAATATAGTATCTCTAGTTGTAAAATTAGTTCCCGAAAGCCACACATCATTGAGAGCACCTGTAGTTGTCAGAACATGGTACTGGATTCTCTACTGTTCCCTTTTAGAAGTTCTTTCTACCAAGTAGAGAGAGAAGTGAATTTCATTGTATGTATACTGTGTATATACGTACAATGACAATAAAGAATTCAATTCAACTTCAAGTATTTAATGAACACAGCAAGCACTAAACCATCACTGTTTTTTTTCCTTTAATTTCTCTCTCCTTTGTGATACAGTAGCACTGTAGAGGATAAAAGTAGAGCAGCAGTGCCTTCAGTTAACAATTTTTACATTTTGCTGATAATGGTCCAGAGACTTTTTCCCTTCCTAACTTGTCTCTTTGTGTCTCAGATAAGGAAGCATTAGAAAACCCTAAGGCATTGGTTGCCCAGGAGATTGTACTCATTCTCCCTCTCCAACTTCTAAAGCATGAGGGGTTGTTTCTTTTCTGCTTCCTCTTTCCTTTTTAAAAATCATCATTCCTGCCCAGAGAAAGTCAAAATTACCAATGTGGCAGTTAAACCACATTCTTTTAGAGCACTAGTCTTCAAAACTGATATACCCAAACAACCCATCTCAACATGAAAAATCAATCTGTAACTCGTTAATTAACATATTTCATGTAAGATATTTTATTTTAACAAAATGTTAAAATTAGTGTTGTGGTAGTACATTACATGCAAGGTAAACCAAGACTGTGAATACTGAGGCCCCAGAGTCATGGAACTCTGAGGTTCCAGGGAATACAGTCTGAATGACATAGTTCTAAAGGACTGAAGGAACTTGGGGACACAAATATGAAAATGACATAATTTATGACAAAAATATAGTTTTGTCATACATCTAAAGTCATATGACAAAAGACGATAAATTTAGTCCTAAATTGTTCCAACAACTTCAAGTCTCACACCTGCTTTTGCAAACTTTGTATCTTACCGGTTCTCCAAGTTCTTTGAGTTTATTCTTTAATTCAATTATTTTCTGATCCTGATCAGCCAGAAGAACCAGAAAATCATCTTGTTCTTTTTTAGATTCTGCAATTTCCTGCTGCAGTTTACTTTTTTCATTTTTCAAAATTGCAACAGTGCTATTGGATGATTCCAATTGTTGTTTAAATGAAGTCTTCTCCTCACTGAGTCTTGCAATTTCATTCTGGCAAAGAAAAGAAAAAAATATTACATTCAGAGACACGTTACCATCAATGAAAAAGTTCTGTGTCTGGAAGGAAGAATATGCTTCATATACCATAAAAATCAATCTCCTTTTAAGGTGATTTAAGTATTCCATATAAATGTCACGTGCAATGCTTTATTGAGTTTCATCTAAAATCTGTTTTTTAGAAGTTTATGCTTCACATAGTTGATCTTTAGTAGCTTTTCAATATCCATTTCCCAAATTTATTACTTTCTAGATGTTGGCAGATCTGTTTTTTTATTATCTTCCCCGGGTATTGATGTTAGGCTGATTGGTCCAGTCCTCTGGTTGTTCCCTGGTGCTCCAGAATTTTTGAAAGATATGATATGGTGCAGTGGTTCTGAGATGACCTCTGCCAGCTCCTTTAAAACTCTGGGATGTAATCCATTAGGCCCTGGTGATTTGTGTTCATCAAGATCAGACAGGTGTTCTCTTACTATTTTTTTTTTTTTTTGCTTATTTTTTACTTTTATTTCTGGTCTGTCTTTTACAGTTATGTTTTTGGTGGGTTGAGCTATAGTTTCTTTTTGTGTGAAGACCGATGCAAAGAATGAGTTAAGCAGTTCTGCATTCTCTCTGTTGCCTGTTACTTCTTTGCCGTCTTCTCTCTTTAGTGGACCGACTGTTTCCTTGATTTTTTTTCTTGTTATTTATATATTGGAAGAAACTTTTTTTTATTATCTTTGACTTTTGCTGCAAGTCTTTGTTCGTTCTGAGCCTTTGCTATCCTGACTTGGTCTCTGCAGATTCTGGCTATCTGCTGATATTCTGTCTTAATTGTATGTCCTTCTTTCCATTTTTTGTACTTGTTCTTTTTTTCCTTCAATTTGCCAGAGAGATCTTTGTGCTGCCATGCTGGTTTCTTCTTGGATTTCTTGTTTTCATTTCTCAGTGGTATTGTGCTGGTCTGGGCTTCTATGATCATACTTTTCAGAGTTTCCCAAGATTCTTGAGTTGTTTTCCCCTTTAGGATTTTCATCCATGGAATCTTTCCCAAGTTCTCTCTGAGTTGATTAAAATCAGCTCTTTTAAAATCCAAGACTCTGGTGTCATTATGTTCTATTGCTTGTGTTTGTGTTATGTTGAATTCTAGTATGATATAAACTATAGACTGTTAACTCTAAAGTTAAGTTAAATATGCAATATGCTTTCTTAGTATGTTTTATTATATACCTTTAATTCTTTATTCTCCTGAAAGATCACTGACAGTTGTCTTTCCAAGTCAATTGTCTTTGCTATCATATCAGCACTACTGTCTTCTGATGCAGGAACAGAAGTCAGGTTCTGAAAAACAAATAACACTGAACAAAATTATAAAGATCATAGTTTTCAGAAACTATAATAATTGTGATTGTAAAACACAAAATAGAGGAAATAGTGGAGAAATCCACCAACACCAGTGGAGGAACGGGAACGGGGGAGCCTGCAGAAACAGCTCTAGGAGCTTCAGTTTCCCTTTGGTGACTGAACGGGTGGAGGCAGTGGCAGTGGAGCTAAAATGCCAGGTAGGTGTCCGGCCCAAGGTGCATGTACCCTAGCCACTGGCTCAGGAGCTCCACCGGTGGGGAGACAGCACTGGAATCCTGGCGCACCAGGAGCCAGTGAAGTGGCCAATGGTCCAGGAATATACCAGACTGAGGAGGACATAACCAGCTCTTGGTGTTCCAGGAACCCCAGTTCACCTTAGCTTGGGCAGAGCACACCACTGTTTTTGAGTGGAGGGCTGAGGCCTCTGGACTTCAGTGAGTCCAGGAAATGGGGAATCCAGCCACCGTCAAGAAGTCAGATCCTGGAAGGGCTGCCAGAGAGATTTGGCCAGCTGAAAATCAGCAGCCTGGGTTGGCATCCCCCAGGCGGTCAGCCTGTCTTGATCCTGGCCCAACTGACCTTCACTTTCCCCAGCCAAGGGAACATGACTGCCCAGAGTGGGGATTCCTCCTCATTTCACTTGGTGCAGAGTGGATCGTGCCTAAGCTTCCCTCGCTGGGCCTGATTTACCAAACCAATAGCTCAAGCCACGACCATTGTCAGTCAGCTGCCAGGGCCCCTAGGCTAGTTCAGCCTGGGGTTGCAGCAAGGGGCAATTTGCCTACCAAGGCCAAGCAGTCCACCTTGCCAGCCACCCCTCAGCCTGCCACTGGCAGACCAAATCCCTCCTGGCTGGGCATATTACTCTGGCCAAGGTGGGCCCAATGCCAATTGATGCCAGCACCCACTTCCCAGCTGACCCCCATCACTGCCAGCACCACCAGTACCCACTTCAGAGCCACTTTTGATGGGAGCCCTGGGAAGCTAGTGTACTTCTTGAACTGCATCTGGTCCCACCTCGATCACTACAGAGGCCATTACCAGTCCAACCAAGAGATAATTTCGGCCATTGCCAACAACATGGAGGGTGAAGCAGCTGAGTGGATGGCTCAACTGCATGATGAAGGGGCTCCTGAACTTGAAGATGCTGATGAATTTCTGCAGCTACTGAGAACCCAGTCGAAGACACAACCCAGGGACAAAGGCAGAGGCTGAAATTAGAGACCTCAAGAGAAAAGGCCGTCCCACGAAGGAGTTAGTGTGGGAATTCAAAAGAATGGTAGGTACGCTGAGAGACTGGCTGGAACGCCTCCTTGTCCACCACTTAAGGAAGCCCTAGACCAAGACTCCTTCAAGCTTGCACCTTCTGAGGGGTCCCTGAGCACATACAGGAGTGTACCAGATGGCGGTGGCCATGGACCTCGAGATTCATCACACCAAAAAGCCACTCTGTACAAAAAGCCTAAACGAGTCCTGGGTCACCAAACCAGCACGAGGCAGCTAAAAGAGTCAAAACAGCCCCAATTGCGGACATTAAGCGCTTCAAGTGCAGCCAACGAGGCCACTGAGTGTCAGAGTGCCTGGCCCCAGCATCAGGCCCCCAGGTCCAGCAGGGCCTAAACAAAGAGGACCCTGAGCAAGCCAGCGGACAATGGGAGATTCACCCAGCAAGCTGTTGAGTTTCCTCCTCCCTCTGCCAAAGGGGGGGGGAACTCTGGCTCAAGAAGCCCCCTCCGGTCCCTGCGAGTGACAGCAGTGAGGGCAGCGAAGACGACCCGATTGTAAGTGAGGCCATCTGTGGATAGTGGTGCCCAGGACAGGAGTCCAAGGGGACATAGAGGCCATCACAGACACTGGATGCACCAGATGCCTAATTAGCCTCCCTACTGTCCAGAAGCTAGGGATAAGCACAGTGCCCCTGGCACGCCCCACATGCTTCAAGCAAGTCAATAAGATATTAATAAGCAAAGCCCCAGCTACCCTATTCACCGAACCAATGAGGCACCAGAAATGACAGAATCGGTCATTCTGGGCCTAGCTTGGCTGGATAATTGGAGTCCCACCATCACATGGGAGGATGGCTATAGGAAATTAAAAATAGGAATGGGACCATCACTACCCTAGTGACAAGGCCCACACGAACCTGGAACTTGTGAGAAAGTTGCTGTTGATTTGCCACTGGGCTACCCACAAGTTCCCAAGGAATATCAGGATCTGGCTGATGTATTCAGCAAACAGGAAAGCAACACCCTTCCCCCTCACCAAGGGGTAGAATTTGTACCAGGAGCCAAGCTGCCCAAGCCAAAGATGTATTCCATGACCCCCAGGAAAATGGACGAGCTGAAAATGAAACATGGACATCGACACCAACCTAGCAAGGGGATTCATTCAGCCAGCCAAGTCTAGGGTGGCCACCTCGGTGCTCTTTAAAGAGAAGAAAGGTGGGTCGATGAGGCTCTGCATTGATTTTAGAGGAATTAACATGGTATGCATGGAAAACACCTACTCCCTGCCCTTGATGAAGGACATGCTAAGCCACTTGGCAAAGGGAAAGGCGTTCACCAAGCTAGACCTAAGAGAAGAGTACTACTGGGTGTGGATCAGAGAGGGAGATGAATGGAAGGTAGCCTTCAACTGCCCGTTATGCAGCTTCCAGTTTAAAGTAATGCCATTTGGATTACAGGGAGCCCCTATGGTCTTCATGCAATTGATTAACGAGGTGCTATATGAGCACCTTTACAAGGGTGTCTTAGTCTATCTAAATGACATTCACATGTTCAGTGAAACATTGGAAGAGCACATTAAACTAGTGCACCAGGTCTTGAAGAAACTCTTAGCGGCTAAACTATATGCAAAGCTGTCAAAATGCGAGTTTCACAAGGCCTCCCTAGACTACCTGGGCTACCGAGTGTCAAACGAGGGAATTGAAATGGACCCAGGAAAAGTAAAAGCGGTATTGAACTGGCAGCCCCCATGTACCCATAAGAAACTTCAGAGCTTCCTTGGGTTTGCCAACTTTTACAGGCAATTCATCGCTGCCTTTGCAGGAGGTGCCTCAAAATCACGACCTAGCCAGCCACTGGCTTGATCCCTAGACTACCAGCATGCTTTCAAAAAGCTGAAAAGACTATTAGCTGAGGAGCCTATCCTCAAGCACCCTGACCCCAAACAGCCATTCATGGTCCAGGTAGATGCCAATGACGTGGCCGTAGTGGCAATGCTGCTGCAAGTCAACACCAGAGCCAGCTACAATCCTGTGCTTACACTTCCAAAAAACTCACCAACACCGAAAGGTGGTGGGCAGTGTGGGAGAAAGAAGCATATGCAGTTCGATGGGCACTCCTCACCTGAAGACACTTCCTAGAGAGAAGCCGAATACCATTTGAAGTTTGAACTGATCACAAAAACCTAGAACCCTACCCCCCCAAAAAACCTTTCTCCCAAACAAATATGCTGGATGCAGTACTTCAAACTGTTTAACTTTGAATTAAAATGCATCCTGGGGGAAGAACCTACTCTTTTATGCCTTTCCAAAAAAGCCACAGTTCAACAGCCGTCGTGAAGAAGTAATCCAGCCCACCATCCCTCCCTCTCAACCAGCAGCTCAAGCCACAACCAAAGGCCAAGCCAGATGCCAAGACACCCCCGGAGGAGACCCAATGGCAGACCTTGAAAGCAGTTATTTGGACAGATCCATAGTTTAACGACAAGGATGCCCTGACCTCAAGGACGGACTAGCCTGGAAGAGGGCCAAGTCCCTCCAGCTTGAGACTTCAAATCCTGCAGCGCAGTCATGACTCCAAGGTTGCCGGACATTTTGGTTATTTAAAAACTGTGCATCCTAACCAGAAGGCAATTTTGGTGCTCTAAGATGAAAACAGATGTGGAGAACTATGTGAAGTGAGTTTGCTATTGAAGTATAGGTAACATACAGATTTCAATCTATTTCTCTCAAATATCACCAAAGCCGACTTTATAAATTGAACTTAACGTAGACCAGATTCTTAAGTATTGATGTTATTTTGGCTAAGAATGGATCAAGATAACTCTTCGGGATTCTTTAGATTGACTTTGATGCCCAATTCTCAGCTAGGGCATAAAATATTTTCCCCATCTCAGATTGCTCCACTTGTAATTTTTATAAAGCATAGTAAAATAAAATAAAGAAAATAAAATAAAGCATAGTAATTTATGCTAGAGATATATCCAACTTAGATTTTTACTATGTGTATCTCAAAGTTCAAAACATTCTCAAGGAATGTTCAAAAGAAAGTTCAAAACATTCCTAAAGATCCATCTCATCCTGGGCACCCTTTTTTTTGAACTCTTACCATCTGGCAGATGGTACAGGATAATAAAAACAAGGACAAATAGGCTGAAAAACAGTTTCTATTGAATTGTATTGTATAGTGCAATATTAATGCAATATCAGGGGTTTTCAATTCAATGTATATAATGTGAATGATGTGTGTTTGTGTTTATTTTCATAGTCATAATGTACATTGAAGATGGTATTTAATTTCGTTGTGCGAGGTGCAATGACAAGATAAACTAAACCAAACTTACTGAGTTACCTTTGAAGATACTTTAGCTCAGGAAGAATATGGAACCAAAAACAATACAAGATTGCTGTGAGATCAGTAGCGATTCTCATATGAAACACATAATAGAAATCAGGTTGGTCTCCCCACCATAATAATTTGACACAGGGAAAGAAAAGAGAAAACTGAATTGTACGACTAAAAGCCCACAGGACCTAATTCCAAAACCAAGTCAAGAGCACCCTTTTCATTCAAATTGTAATCATACTTCAAGAGCAAGCAATGCATCGTTTCTTCCACTGTCATATAAAAGTAGCTTGACCAAATACTTAAAAATAGGCTATAGGATTTTCCTACCTTACACAGTTCACTATTTAACTGAGTTCCAGTAGATATATTAGTTTGTGATGATTGTTCTTTTCCTCTTTCCATTGTTGTTGAAAGTTTCTACAAACATTAGACATATAAAAACATCCAGTTATTTAAAAAACATAAGCACTTTAAACTCTTATTTTGGTTTTATATTTTAAAAAAGCAGCAACCAGGACTATAGCTTCAGATAGTCACACAATAATGGTAGGTATCATCTTGGAAATTAGAAAAATAGCATTTTGGTATACTGCATAGAGGAGAGAAAATAAGCTATGCAAACTGAATTAAATCTTACATTAAAAAAAATTCCCATGCTAACAAATATGGTGGGAATATCGGGAAGTATTTGAAATAGTCACCCTTTTCAAAAAAATAAATTAGATTCCATCTTTATGCAATGGACTTTTATGAGACAATTATGAGATCAGTAAATTCATAGTATTTTATTTATAAACCCACATTCATTTTTTAAAAATAAAGTTTTAAAAATAAATAAAATAACACAGGTTTCAATTTTATGGATTAAAACCACTGCCAAGGCAGCAAGCTGATTGTTTTTAATCAAATTGATTTTAAAAAAATTCTACATAAAACCACATTCTATACACCAGTAAGAATCCACTGAACTTATCAATACATTTTATCATCATATCACCCAAACCCATTATTTAAGCTACATTTTTTCATTAATTCATTCATCATATCACCTAATCATAAACTGAGGTAACTTAGAATAATTGCAACAGTATATAAAATACAACACATGAAAAAAATCAATTGATTTTAAATCTGATTCAAAATTAAAATAGGTGGAAGTCTGGCAATATATCTCAAGCTATATTTAGGCTTGTGGTCTAGGTGCTCCTTGCCCACAATACAAAGAATAAAAATGTGCTGCTTGGATATATCTGTTTCCCCTGATTTGAAGAAATTGTGGTCTGCTATGATTTGGAAGTAAGAAAGAAAACTATTTCTTAATCACCATTTTAGATCTGATCGGAAAAACTGATAGTTTCAGACCAGATCAGAAGATTACTGAGAATGAAACTTTACTGCTCACCAGGGTTTCAATCAAAGAATCCTTTTCTCTTAGCTGTTCTTGCAGTAATTCCAGTTTGTGCTTCCATTCCTCCATTTCAATGTTCAATTTACTGATTTCTTCTGATTGAACACCATTCATCTGAGCCATATCACTGTGGGAACTATGATGCTGATTGTCTTTTCCTATTAAGCAGATTAAACAGAAATTCCAGGATAAAATAGAAAATAATACAGGACAAATAAATACATCATGGGGAATGATATTTAATATTGTTCTAAACATTTCACTTCTTAAACTTCTTAAGCTTTCCTTGAGGCAAACCTTTGATATATTGCTATTTTATGTAACTTATTTTACTGGCCAGTATCTGGTAATTGCTGAAATGCTTAGAAATGTACTAAAAGGGGGAGAGGGGAGACAGAGATAGTCTGGTTCTCTAAGATACTTCTCTAAGAGCTTAACTGGATGTGGATATATAGACTCTTACGACTATTTATATATAATATGAATAAAAGGTTAATACACAAGAGTTGGATGACAAAGATATTTTGGTATATCAAATGTATTACCTGATCAATTGAATGTTAGAAACTAAGATGAAGGCAAAGAAAAAAATTAAAGGAAAAGATGCCTTCTTTTCAAGCTCATCATTGGGTAATAATATTCCTGCAGTTTTCTTGGCAGGATTACAAAAATCAGATGGCACTGTCTTCTGTAAAAATGCTTTTTATTTTCCCTGTAAAACCTACAGGGAATTGTCAAGTGTTTCCCCATCTTTAGACTAATTAAGCTCAACCCTGCTTAGGTTTTGAGACTGAACAATGTTAGGTAAAATATCACTGTCTGCGGACAGTGAAATATAAACGAGAAATTTCTTGGCTTCTAAAGCAAATGGGGAGGGATGGCACTGTGATCCTAACTGGTGCTATTAGTTAAAGCAACTGTTTAATCCATTTATTTAAATTTTTGTTTCTATCACTATATCTCCCTTTGGTTTTTTGGGTTTCTTGAAAAAAATATTCCCACTCTATAGTTGATAATCTTGATGAAACTCTGAGATTGACTCCAGGTAGTTAAATAGTCCATTGTCAATGATTAATGCCAATTCACTACATTGTTGAAAGTATATGCAACACAATGCAATTTAAAATCCCATTGCCTGCAAGTTATTCCTCAGGAAAACTATATAAAGTACTATTTGCATTATTACCTAGCTGTATTTTAAGGAGGTTATATTGGTCCTTGTGTTGCTGGATTTGTGAAACTTGTTGCGTAACTGTTGTCTGCAACTGTTCATTTTGAATTTTAAATGATTCTATTTGTTTCTTCAATTCCTCAAGCTCCTGGTCCTTTAAAATAAAATAAAAAGAAACGAAGTTAAGTTTGCATCCATTTCTTTAACATAGATCTACTGTCTAATTATGTCTGGGATCTTGAATCTTTTATCAGATTTCTAACTGAGATGCTAACCGACCAACTCTATTTGATTAGTGCAATATAGATAAAAATAGTTTTGGGGATTCTCTGGAACATGATAAGATAAAAAATGTATCAAGGACTAAACTATTCTACTTCTACCATTTACAGGTATTCCTTGACTTAAGATGTAGCAACTGTTTATAGCAGCACTAAAAAAACAACTTACAATTTGTCCTCATACTTATGTCTGTTGCATGATCTCTGTGATCATGGGAAGGAAATTCACATGCTTGGTAATTGGCATGTATTTATGACAATTCAAGTGTCCTTGAGTCACATAATCCCCATATACTATCTTCCCAGCTAGTTTCTGACAAGCATAGTCAATGGGGGAAGCCAGAATTGTTTAACAACTACCATTATTCACTTAATGAATGAGGCAAAATAGGTCATAAATTCAGACAGAGTCTGAATTTTAGTGATAGATGTTCTAGCCCAATTGTAGTCATAAGTCAAGGTCTACCTATCTGTACAATAAGAGGTCAGGTCCCCTTTGTGTCAAGAGAATATTCCAAAAAGTAATTCCGGAAAGAGTTTAGAAGATCTAAAGGGTCCTCACTTACTGATCACAATTGGGACCGGCAACTTCATCACTAAATGACATTTTCATAAAGTGAAAAATCATACAATCACTCCTTATTTAGAATGGCAGTTTGTGAGTTCCAGCTGTAATCCTTAAGCAAATCACCAAGGGTTGTTAAGTGTGATGCCACATGACAGTGACTTGCAAATCCCACCAGCTTTGATTTTGCCAGCTGTGAAGATTGTAAATAGCAATCATAACCACAGAATGCTGTAAATATCATAAATGTGCAGGTTGTCAAGTACTGGAATCCTGATCACCTGCCTGAGAGGACCATGGGGGCAGTCACAACTTGGTAGACTGGTTTTAAGTCTTCCATATTCAGTAGTGTCATAATTTTGAACAGTCACTGAATGAGTGGTCAGTAAATAAGAGTCATCTATAATATCTTTCAATTTTGAGTAACGAATTTGACTAATTTATATGTTAAAGCTATTTTTTTAATCTTAACAATGTAACTAGTGGTTGCAATTCTTATCTAGTATTAAATGGAATTTAGGTGATGCTTTTTATAGCAGCGATGTATTATACATATAAGACTACGAATTGTATAGGTAGTTTGGTGTAGTGGTTAAGATGCTAGAAATCAGAAGACTGTGAGTTCTAGACATGCCTTAGACGTGAGAGACAGTTGAGTAACTTTGGGCCAGTTACTCTCACCCAGCCTACCATGCAAGATTATTGTTGGAAGAATAGAGGAAAGGAGTATCAGGTATGTTTCCTATGTTAAATTATATATAAAACAAGAGGGATTAAAGTCTAACAATAACAAGAACAACCATGGCCATCCTGATGGAGGGCAAAACAACAGACTGCATAACGAAATAATGGAGGAAGAGATATTTATTAAAGTAGAACATCAATTAAATCTGAATGGAATTTATACATGTATATTTTATATATATTTACCTGCTTATAATTTGGGAACAGTTTTTGCATTATTTTACAAAATTTACACATTTTATGCATTAGTAAATAGCAAATGAGATTTTACTGTATGGACAGTGTATGGACAGATTTTATTCCATACCGTGACAAGATTTATTAAATTGAGTTATTTGATGCTATTTAATATACAATTTTACAACATGCCACTTCATTTTTGGATATGTATGAGTTAAACTTCTCTTCCCCCATGCTCAATACAAATCAATAATTCCATTTTTTAATTAACAGATGCTATAATTTTAAATAAATTTTAATATAATGTGTAACTTGGGCTTAAGATATACCTCTTTAAATATGCATAATATTCCTGAGATTAAATGCAATTCACTTAAAACAAAATACATTATTTACCTGTACTCTAATGACATTTTTATAATGTGTCACTATGTTGTCATGCTGTTCTAAAGTTTTTTTCACTTCTTCTTCCTTTTTATCTTCTTCACTTGACTTATAAACTGCCTTTGTTATAATTCCTGTGAAATGATTATTTATAATATTAGACAATTTAAGTGAAATGTAGCATTCTAGATGACTTATAGTTTAGAGGGTGCCTGATCATTAACTTGATAATGACTATTCAATATTTCTCAATCACTCAGATTTTTTTCTTTACCAGGCTAAAAACATTCTTATCCGATAATGCTGTCACTTTAAAATGGAAAAAAAAAGTTTGATTAAAAATGTTCAATAAACAATGGATCAGGAAACACTTCTGTCATACCGTGGGTTAACCAAAACTGTTGCAATGTTTAAACCCTCCACCCCCAATTTCCCACTGAGCTTAACACTCAACAATTGTTTTACATTTAAATGAGTTCAATAAATACTAGTGCAATAGTACACCACAAGCATAATACGTATACTCTGATTTCTGTGGAGAAATATGAAAGCCTCAGAAAGAACAAACCATTTTTTTTCTCAAGCCTTCTGCCCCAAACTGAAAATAAAATGAAAACAATACACAAAATATGCATTTGAAGAAAATTGCTGTTTCAAAATATTCATATCAAATCATGAATTAGCAAATATGCAAAATATTTATCTCAATACAAGTGAAAATTAAATTTTCAGAAGTCCATGAAAAACTGAAGCAGAAGAAGCAGAGCCTGCTAAGGAACCCAGAAAATGAGAAGGGGAGTTGTTTCATGTGGCAATATTTGAATTCTGAGCTCTCTCCTCTTCTCTACTTGGTTTTCAGGTGGTTTTTTTTTTTTTTTGAAAAATTAATCTTCTATATGTATCTATAATGTATAATTTTACTTTATTCTGCCACAAAGTAAATGGCTTCTTCCTCCTTTCCCAAAATTAATTTTTTGCTAGCCTGATGGTCCTAAGCAGGTAAAAATGAATGAAGAGATGCTAGATTTCATTGTTTTCACAAATCTACGCCTCCATTAGTTACGAACTTTTTAAAAATTAAATTAATATACTTTGCTTAATACATTTTCTCTACAAGAGGCAATAATAAAGGCTGTAAATGTATAATTTTTCTGTTATTTTTTCTCTAAATTTTCATAACTTTTTCATCAGAAATTGTGTATCTTTAATCTATATAAAATTATTGATTTTTATGGCACAAGATTTAAAAAAAACTGCTGGTAAAATGTACTTTCTCCTTTTTCAAATGTAATACTTCAAGAAATAAACAAATAAAATCAGGAGAAATGATGTAACAAGTCTCACCTTCCAGTTCTTTCACCAGCTTTGTAAATTCATGATCAAACATCATATGATCAGGACTAGAAAAGTTTGGCTGTGGTTTCTGAGCTGCTCGGGAATAGAATTCATGTTTGCTAATAAATCCCAATTTCTCAATAAAAATTTCCTTTCCAATCCTTTTCTCTATAAGCTGCTTTAGTTTTTCTCTAAAGGGGAAACAAAATTATGTAATAATTCTAGCTGAAAAAAAATCCTTTTTATCCCTGCCCCTCAAAACCTTATAATTCTCTTTAATAAATAGAGGATGGGGAAAAACAAGACTACCAAGTAAATAGTATGCAATAAGCCAAAATGATGAGGAAGAAAAAAGGATGCCTCCAGAACTTGTAGAGAAATCAATTTCAGCGTGAAATAAATTGAGACAAATTACAAAAAAAAATCAAAAAATCAAGCAATTTCAGAATATTGGAAACAATGAGAAGACAGACTAAGTGATAGTTTAAAAAAAATAGTTGTTTTATTTTGTTTTTTCATGCCAACAGTATTCTTAAATATCATTGGAGAAACTCAGTCTCTAATTTCAAATGACATTTTTTCAGTTTCAAACCTTTGGGGCCATAAAGTCTATAATAATAATAAAAAATCATGTATTTGCCTTAATTTATATGGAAAGCTCACCTATTCACTACTACAGTATTTACAATGCAAAATATAGTAAATGAAATATGAATGCGAATACACTCACTTTTTATAATTCTCAAGTGAATTGTCATTGTAATAAATGGAGATTCCTAGTAATAGAGCGCACAATCCTTGAACCAGCTGCTCCTCTTCTCCAAGGTTTTCTGCTATTTGTCCTGTTAGCTACATATTTGGCTAAGGATGCTACAGACTCAAATCCTTTCTTTGCATCACACTTTAGAGTAAAAAAGGTAACAATTTCCTTGATTTATTTTGACTGAATGGCCATGTCAATGCAGATATCTTAACATCAATTTATTTGTTCGTTCGTTTGTTAATTTATTCAATTTCTATGGCCATCCTCTCATTCAATGACTCCATACCAATACCAAGTGGCTTGCTACTGCCTTCTTTCATAAAACTTACTGATTTACCAACCTGGCTACAGCTTTTGGACTTCCTGGGAGCCTCTTCTCTTAATTATAACTTAACTTTTCACCATCAGCTTGTCTTGAGCCAGGTTTTTATCTTAATAACTTAACTGCAAAACAATCAGTTGTTTATTCATTTAATTAAAGCAAATTTAATGAAACATAGTTATCATATTATAACAGAAACATCAGCATGCCAATTTTTACAGAGGAAAGTGAAAATCTATTTATGAGCATAATGTGAGATATTTTAATAATTTAATATTATTGTACCCTATGACTATCAATAAACGTTGTACCTTATGATTCTTGACTCTTGACGAATGTATCTTTTCTTTTATGTATACCGACAGTATTTACACCAAGACAAATTCCTCGTGTGTCCAATCACACTTGGCCAATAAAGTATTTTATTCTATTCTATAAATCTCAAAATTGCAAACATTTGCTACATCCTTGAAAGAAACATTTCTTTTAATGTATTGTCATTTCTGTCCTTCAGCTGAAACTCTATATAATTACTACAGTGAACTATTAAATTGTAATTATTTTAAAAGGATACAAATGGAATATTTGCTGAATTGTGAAGAAAATGTGTGACAGCGATGGGGCAATTGCTTAGCCATGTGCAAAGCAGCATCAATAATCCAACTCTTGTCTGCACTTTGCTTCCCTAGAAAAAATGAAAACAAATGTTATCTCTGTTTGCATCACTTTTATATCTTGCCTCTTATTTTTCATAATTTTCAAGGTCAACAATCAATCAATCAAACCATTCGCTAAAAGTGAGGGATGCACAGGCCTAGGGGAAACCTGAAATACAATAAATTTTCAGGGGGGGAAAATCGGAACAAAATACCAAGGCAGCCTGATGAGAACTATGCATCCTTAGTATTCGCAATTGGAAAAGAAAATTATTGTGAAGAGTGGGCTATGGAAAAGAAAATTATTGTGAAGAGTGGGCTAGGGATTATTGCTATCAGCTAGAAAAGGAGGCTGGACGAAAGTGAATCTTGACTTTATTATGTAGTAGCAATCCTATCTGGCTTACTACACCACTTTTATGATAGGCAAACTAATGACCAAACACATATTGGTATGATTCTGTGAATGCTACAGTTCAGTCCACTCTGACAGGACCTCTCTCCTATTTTTGCCTTGCTCAAGCTTTCTATATAATTAAAAAGACAAGACCATATAATAATTTAATACTGCATTATTGAAATGTTATGTAATTGGCTCCTGAAACTTCTCAAGAAAACAACCAAGCTCAGAAAGCACCAAGAACTCCACACTAAAAGTAACACAAATCATTGCAGAATAATCTGATTTTAAAAAGGAAGATTATGAACCAAGGATGGATAGGGAACTGAATTACCAGATATATTACCAGTATACCCTTATTGTCTATTGCTATACTCTATCTGTAGTTGCACAAAATTTAGTTACATTATATGTACTAGCAGGCTGTCTATATCAAAGTAAAAAGATGAGAAGGAATTCATCTGGTCAATCGGAAAATTTATTTAAAAGGAATAGGTTTATTATGTAGATCCATATACAGAATTTATGGTAGAGCAAGACAAACTGTTTCAAGAGTAAAATTGGGCACAATTCACTTAACAATCACCTTGCTTAGCAATGGAAATTTTGGCCACAATTCTAGTCATAAGTTGAGCACTTGTACATGAGGACAAGTATGACATTATTTCCATTACTGAAACTTGGTGGGAGGAAACCCATGTCTGGAATGTACAAGTAGAGAGATTTAAATTGTTCAAAAGAAATAGACCTAATAAAAGAAGGAGTTGCATTATTTAAAAGAAATAACTACACCTACATAGAAATAAAAAAGGATGAAAATCTTCTTGAATGCATTTGGGTTAATATAAAAGGAAAAAGGAATGATATTGCCATATGTGTATACTACAGGACACCCAATCAATCAGAGGAAATAGACAAGTTTTGCTAATCACTTTGCTACAATGTGCAGGAAGCACAATAGAATAGCAATGGGGAATTTTAACTACCCCAACATCTATGGGGAGACAAATTCTGCACCAAGTGGAAGATCAAATGAGTTCTTGACAAACCTAGTAGACAACTTGTCACCCAAAAGGCAGAGGCAGACACTAGAGGTCAGCTGTACTGGACAATCTTTAGTAACAGAGATGAAATGACAGAAGAGATTGACGTTGCAGGAACTCTGGGGGAAAGTAACCATGTCATGTTAGAATTTAATATAACCCAGGCACATGCAAAGTCATATTAATGTTTTAGACTTTAGATTTTAACAAAATTAGAGAGTTTGAGAAGGCTTCCATGGATTAAAATTTCAAAGGGAAAAACAATTCAAGAATCTCTGAGAAATGAGAGTATAAAGCCCGGTCTGACAATATCACTGAGAAAGAAAAATAAAAGAGACCCCAGATGAAACTGGCATAGTTGCATAAGGAACTCTCTGATAAACTGAAAGACAGAAAGGAAAAGTCAGAAAAGTTAAAGTTCAGAACAAACTAAAACTTGCAAAAAGTTATTTTTAATCAACGTGTAAAAAGCAAGAAAAACGTCAAGGAAACAATCAGTCAATATTGGGAGAAGATTGCAAGTTGGCAATTGGCTGTAGGGAGAAATTGGAATTGCTTAATTTATTCTTTGCATGTCTTTCCACAAAGGAAAAAGATAATCCAACCTAATAATAATAGTACTGTAAAAGACAGATTAAGAATACAAGTCAAAATAGGCAAATAAATAAAACAAAAAACAAATAAGACAACATCTTTCTAGACAAGTTTAAATCACCAGGACCAGATGGAATTACATCCCAGGGTTCTGAAGAAGCAGGCAAATATGATCTTGGAACTACTGAACCATAACTTTAAAAAATCCAGGAGCATCGAGGAACTACCTGAGGACTGGAAAAGAACTGATGTGTTGATCTTCAAAAAAATGAAAAAAAATGAACTCAGGACATTTCAGACTAATCAGCATGACATCAATACCTGTGAAGATTCTGGAAGTTAATTAAGCGACATATCTGTAAACATCCAGAAACAAGCAAAGTTGTTACCAGAAGCCAACATGGGTTTGTCAAAAACTGATCATGCCAGCTAAACCTTACTGTATTCTTTGAAAAAGCGACTAAGTTACTGGACCAGCAAATTGCCGTGGACATAGTATACATGGATTTCAGTAAGGCATTTGACAACACAGACAAAAAACCTATTACTAAGTAAGATAGAAAAATGTAGGATAGACAGCATCTCCCCCAGATGAATTTGTAACTGGTTGATCAACCACATTCAATTTGTAGTCCTTAATGGAACGACATCTACATGGCAGGAATTACTCTTCAAATTGATCTTCCTAAACAATTTAGATGAAGGGGTAGAAAAGTAAGTCATCAAATCTACAGAGAACACCAAACTGAAGGGAATAGCCTTAAAATAGCCTTTGGAAGATAGGCTCAGGATCCAGAAGAATTTTGACAGATTTGAACAATAGATCCTACCCAACGAAATATAATTTGGTGGTGAGAAGAATAAGATGTTACATGTATTTCTTTTCTTAGGCAAGAAAAGCCAAATGCACAGGTTTAAGAGAGGTGATACCTGGCTCAACAGGAGTAATCATGAGAGGGATTTAGAAATTATAGTGGACAGCCAACTTAAATGTGAACCAGAAGTATGCCAAAGCTGCCAAAAAAGTCAACACAGTCCTAGGCTATATCAACAGAGGAATAGTATCAAGGTGACATCAGTGCTGGTATTTTACCGGTTCGGTCCGGTTCAGGCGAACTGGTAGTAAAAAATGCTACTGGTTCAGCTGAACCGATAGTAAAAAAAAATGCTACCAGTTTGGCAGAATAGGTATTTCCGATGATCAGCTGTGCCGCACAATTTATATTAGCTAGAAAGCAGGAAACCATCGGATTTCTTGCTTTCTAGCTAATATAAATCACACTGCACAGCTGATTCCCCCCCCCCTTGCAGTTGTACTTACCTCGCCAGGAGGCTTCCCTGAGACCCAATAGGCAAAATAACAGGGTGCAGGAGGTTCTGCGAAAGGGGGTGGTGGAAACATCACCTAGTCATGCCCACCCAGTCACATGGCCACGCCTACAGAACCGGTAATAAAAAAAAATTGAATCCTATGATACTATATGAACAGTTTTAGTACTGCTTTATACTGCAGAGACCACCTTTTATAAGATCACACTTGGAATACTGCATCCAGTTTTACTCACCACAATATCAAAAAAGATGTTGCAAAAAAAGTGCAGAGAAGAGTAGTAAAATTAGAAAATCAGAAATGTCAGAAAGAAACTCAAAATTGTTCCCTTGATTCTGGTATAAAAGGGAGTAAAAAGAAATTCTATCAGGTTTTCAAAATTCTGTTACTATGGTCAACTGCAATAAAATGGACTTCTAGAATTTTTTTCTTTTTCTTTTGTGGTGACTGCTTCCTGATCTGATCTACTTTAATGGAATGACACCACCTAAAACTCGGGTTGACAACCTTTTGGACCTCAGGGAACTCATAAATTTAAATCCTGGGGACCACGAATATGAATTTTGATTGATAGTGGCTTGCTGACGTTGGTGGGGGTGGGGGAGAGATAGACAGACAGACAAACACACATACAAAAACATAGAGGTAGGGGTGGGATTCAAATTTCTTAACAACCAGTTCTGTGGGGATGGCCTAATTTGTGGGTGTGGCTTGGTGGTCATGTGACTGGCTGGGCATAGCTTGTATGTAAATATTATAAATATTTATATATATATTGAATTTTTTATTAAAAAAAGAGCAACCTTTACCCAAAATCAGGCAAAACAGGCAGGCAGATTGAGTTGCTCACAGAATTACAGATTCATTCAAGATCTATCTATCTGGCATCAGCTAGCTTAGTCTGCAACTGAATAACAGAACCTTCAGTCCTAAGATCTAAAGATTAGTTAGAAAGCAAGAAATCCAACGATTTCCTGCTTTCTAGCTAATCTAAATCTCCCGGCACAGCAGAACAGCTGATAGTCAGAAGAAAAAAAAAAGGGAAAAATAGCAACTTAGCAGATAAGTTTGCCAGGTAAGGAGTAAATGGGCGGGGAGGGTTCCCACGGGCTATGTGGGTGGCGCAGCCTTGTGTTCCCGCGCAGCCTGGATTAACTGCTTGGGGGGGTGCTCTGGATATGACATTTCTCTGTGGACCACCAAAATTTTCTCACAGACCACTAGTGGGCTGTGGCCCACTGGTTGGCGACCACTGACCTAAAACACTAGTATCATGCTGAGACAACTCAATGGAATAAATATAATTACTTCTAGGCAATATTTTTATCATTTACTTCTAAAGCCATTTGGAAGGTGAAAGGAAGATAAAAAGGCCTTCTATGGTTCTTTTTTATTTTATAGGTTATAGCTGCATTGTCCACTTGCTTTAAAAAGATGTAGCCACATGCTATCTTCATGCTTCCCTATGATCTGAAGCAATTTTTATAAAAAGAAAATGATTCTGTTAAGTTTAAAAGGTAAATGTTTCAATAGTTATACTCAATAAGGATTTCCGGTGGCACTTCTGTTGAGGACGGACAGAGACCGCGATCGTGTACGGCTTTGATCCATGCTTACCCTGTTGGAGGAGTCCCTATGGGACTGAACCATCAGACCCACCTT